CGCGGGGCGACGAAAGGGGGGGCGCGGGGCGACGAAACGGGGGCCGCGGGCGACGGGAACGGGGGGCCGCGGGCGACGGGAACGGGGGGCCGCGGGCGACGGGAACGGGGGGGCCGCGGGCGACGGGAACGGGGGGCCGCGGGCGACGGGAACGGGGGGCCGCGGGCGACGGGAACGGGGGGCCGCGGGCGACGGGAACGGGGGGCCGCGGGCGACGGGAACGGGGGGGCCGTGGGCGACGGGAACGGGGGTCCGCGGGCGACGGGAACGACGCGGGGCGACGCGGGGGCGACGGGGCAGAAAGCCGCCGCGCGCCTCGGGGCGCACGGCGGGCAGAAAACCGCCGCACGCTCCGAGCGCGCGGCGGGATGAAAAATTAGGGTTTCGCCGCCGCGCACCACGGGGCGCGCGGCGGACACTACGGCAGCGGAAGCAGGTGGTGGGCCCATAGAGGTAAGCGGCAGGAACGTGCTCGCTCTAGATACCATGTTAGAAACAATAGGAGTGGGGCCTAGGCTTAGTAGCCTAGGCCCACACTAGGAGGTAGTAGGTTGTGCCCTAGGACTAGGGTTTGTGGTATACGAAGGAGAATTGGAGAGGTGAGAATGGGAATGAATGATTGAACTAGCAAGCAGCAGGATACATATAGGAAACCCTAAGGGGTTGTACTCACTATTGAGCACCCCACTGCAGGCTAGACAAATAACATAATCTGACAGGAGTCTGCACGATGAGGCGCGTGGGGAGACGAGGATTATGAGCCGGAAGATGGCGCTAACTGGGGATCAGCTACTGGCGCCTGGGGAACCACCGGGAGCGGCATGGTCACCACAGGAGGATGGGGCACCGAGGAAACAACTGAGGGAGATCTAACACAAGCAGAGCTAGAGGAAACAGAGCGGGAGATGCGAGCTGAGCGCGGGGAAGCATCACCCCGTGTCGCCGTACCGCTCGGACGACCCCCTCGCACTCACTCACCTCCCCGCTCACCCTTCAGATGGCAAAGCGTCTGGACGGAGATTGAGGAGGGGAATGTACCACCTACCCCAGCGCGTGACTCACTCGGTCCAAACTCCTGCCCAGATCCATTTGCGCACCTCATCGAAGGCACGAGGACGCCGCTGAATATCATCCCCGACCGCGACTTCCTCACCCTCTACCTCACGACGGCACCTACAGAAGGGGAGACAGCAAGAGAAGCAGAAGCAGAGGAGGCAGAGGACGAAGCAGAACCAGGAGAAGAGAAAGAACCCCCACTCCAACTTCCGCAAGAGACGGAGGCGGAAGCAGCAGAACACCGCGCTCGCTACATGCGCACCAGCGGCATTCGCGCAGAAGACGACCTCTGGCATCAGCGGTTCGGTCACCCCTCACGCCAGACCCTTGCCAACAGCCTCCGTGCCAAAGTTTTCCTCCCAGGAGCACTCCTACGCCCCGACGGCACTGAACCACACAACACCCCACACCCACTCACATGGACCGTTTGCCCCACAGCGGCTCTCTCCCACAGCGCCTACCCCTCCCTGGAATCAAGCACCAATCGCTACAAGAAGCTGCAGAAGGTGTACAGCGACTTCATCGTACTTAACTGCGACGGACTCAACGGCGAAAAATACACGCTGACCTTCATCGACGCTTACTCACGCCACGTCTAGGTCGCCAACGTCGACGCGCGCTCCAAGGCCCCAGAGGTCTTCCGCATCTGGCTCGCACACGCACAGCGGCAGTCGGGGAGGAAGCTGAAAATCTGGCAGAGTGATGGCGCCAAGGAGTTCCGCAGCAACGAACTGGAGAGTGTTCTTACCAAGAAGGGGATCAAGCACGAGATTTCCCTCCCCTACGCTCACCAGCAGCAAGGCGTCGCGGAGAGGGTCAACCGCACCCTCATGAGGAAAGTGCGCGCCATCATGAACCAGTCCGGCTTACCCAAGAAGTTCTGGCCTTACGCCATGAATCATGCGGTGCGCCTGCACAACCTCCTCTCCACCACGGCCAACAGGGACAACCTTTCCCCACACATGAAGTGGACCGGCTCAAGGGGAGACCCCTCCATGCTGAGGGTTTGGGGGTGCATGGTGCAGTACCGGCCGACTTCAGCGACAATCGGCAAGTTTGCTCATCGTGCGGGCTGGGGAATCCATCTGGGACTCAGCAACGAGCACAAGGGGTGGCTTATTCTTGACATTGACAGCAAGGAGATTGTTCCCGCGCACGATGTTCTCTTCTACGAGCGACTCACCTTGAAGCAGTGGATTGAGGACGAATGGTGCAACGAAGCCCGTGGTTACGTCAACAGCGGCCGTAGTTTTGCATCTCTGGAGGATGAGGCAACTGCAGCAGCGCTCGATCGCGACGACACCGACGAACATCCCGGTGTTCCGCCTCGCCCTCGCACGGATGATGACGACGACGACAGCGACGATGCGACCGCGCCTGGACCTTCCCGCCGCCGAGCGGAACCAAGCACATCCTCACCCGGCCACGAGAGCGACGATGACGACGTGGTGGAAGTCCCCATCACCGACACCGCGGACACCACGAATGTGTCTGGCCTGCAACTGCTCGGCCTACATACCTCCGTCTCTACCCTCGTCCGCGCTGTCGAACCTAAGAACCCGCGCTAGGCCCTAACCGGCCCTCACGCCAAGGAGTGGCGTGCAGCAGTGGACGCTGAGTTGAAAGCGTTGGAATCTCATGATACGTGGGTCCTCGTCGATCGTGCAGCAGTGAAGGGGAGGAGGGTGTTAAGCGGAAAATGGGTATTCCGTTTCAAGACTAACGCCGACGGAACCATTGAACGCTTCAAAGCACGTTGGGTCGTACGTGGATACGACCAGCGACGCGGCATCGACATCGATCAAACCTTTGCTCCCGTCAGCCGCCACACCTCGGTCAGGATTCTACTCGCCATAGCCGCCGCTAAGCATCTGCCACTGCGACAGATCGACGTGAAGAACGCATTCCTATATGCGTTGGTGGATGCAACCATCTTCGTGGAGCAACCACACACTTACGGAGAAGGAGACCCCAGGGTGTGCCAGCTAAAGAAATCCCTCTACGGGATCAAGCAGGCGCCTCGTCTCTGGCAGCAGCATCTGCACAAAATTCTGCTCGAGATCGGCTTCAGGCAGCTGCCGCACGACCCGGTAATGTACCGCCTCCATTTCAACCACGACTACATCCTCCTTACCGTCTACGTCGACGACCTGCTGTACACTGGCACCTGCAACCAGCTTCTTAACCAGTTCGAGGAGAATCTAGCGAAGCACGTGGACATTACCATCAACCGCAATGTCACTCAGTTTCCGGGTCTGAACATCACCTACGCGTTAGAAGCAATTCATCTGTCAGCTTCAAAGTACGCAGAGCAGCTGGGGGAACGCTTCAACATTTCACGCGCACCACTCTCAACTCCCTACCGCAACCCCAGCGCCAACTACAAACCGGACAACAAACCTCTGTCCCCCGCGGAACTTCAACTGTACCAGCAGCAACTGGATTGTCTGCTGTTCGTCTTTGTCACATGCCGACCCGACCTCTCGTACATCGCCAGCCAACTGGCACAGTACTCCCGCAAGCCAGTAGCCGAGAACTAGCTGGACCTAGAGCGTGCCCTGCAGTACTTCATCTCCACACCTGACATCGGGCTCTCCTACTCCACGCTGGCAACAACCTCCTTCAACCTCAACGGCTACGTGGACGCAGATCACGCCGCTGACCCTGCGAATCGACGGTCCCGAACCGGCTTTGTTTTCCGCCTGGAGCCTACTGGCCCAATCTCCTGGAACTCGCAGAAGCAGGAACTGGTTGCCCTGTCATCGGCTGAAGCAGAATACATCGCCGCGACAGCAGCAGTTCGCGAAGGCCTGTACCTGCAGGAGCTGCTACAGGAGGCGAAAATTCCAACTTCGCCTACCTTTCGTCTGCATTGCGACAACCAGAGCGCAATAAAGATCGCGAACAAGCCAGGGTTCGTGAACCGCACGAAGCACATCGCACTGCGGTACTTCTTCGTCAAGGACGAAATTGACCAGGGCAAGGTTGACCTCGCATACTGCCCGACCACTGAGATGGCAGCCGACTTTCTCACCAAGCGTCTGCCACGTCAGCAGTTCAAGCACTGCTCCGACCTCACTGGAGTAGTCAAGCGAGTCAGCACCCTTCACGACCAGGAATGAAGGGGAGTGTTACGATATGAAGTTTTATGAGAAGGCATTCATGTATGCTGCAGGAGCCGACTCTACCGAGTACGAAGACGAGGAGTCAGAAGAGTCGAAGCGACACAGCAACCGTCTGATCAAGACCGATGCAGGCAGAAACATTTGAAGTGAAAAGAGCGGGAACAGGTTTGAAACTGGTTCCCGCGCCGCACGGTTTGAATTTCGCTGCAATAAGGGAATGTAACCCTTAGAGTACATGGCTAGTCTAGGTCGTTTCACATTCCTTTGTTTTTCTATATAAACCCTATGTATGCATGCTATTATCATCTCAGTCATTTACATTCACTCTGACCTGAGTTCACTACTTCCGCTGCGACACAACCTGCGATCAACCCTGAACGATCCTTTCGCGCTTTCTCACTTCAGATTGTAACAACAACTTTCCCCCTTTTTTCCCTCCCCCCAGGCGGCATCAGCATCCAAGGCACTATTCATGTAACCCTCCCCTTTTCCAATCCCTTCCCCCCAACCTCATCACAATCCACCCCCTTTTTTCTCCCCCCAGGCGGCATCAGCAGCCAAGGCGCTCTTCACGGCGTGCTGTCGGCACAACCGCCAGCTGTACCATGCACGGTGCCTGCTGCTCATGGCGGAGCTATACCTGGTGAGCCACCTAAGGAGTCACCTGAGGCACCTGGTGAGACCTTTGGTTGCTAGTCAGACACCTGAGGCACCTGGTGAGCCACCTGAGGCACCTGAGGCACCTAAGGCACCTAATGAAGCACCTGGTGAGGCACCTGAGGACACCTGCTGCTGATTAGGCCCCTGATGAAGCACCGGATGAAGCACCGGATGAGGCACCTGGCTGCTGATCGGACACCTGAGACACCAGGTGTGATAGTGTTGTGCTTCATAAGGGGCAGGTGGCAAGCAGGCTGTTGTGGGCATATGCTGCTGTGGGCATATGCTGTTGTGGGCATATGCTGTTGTGGGCATATGCTGTTGTGGGCATATGCTGTTGTGGGCATATGCTGTTGTGGGCATATGGTGTTATGGGCATATGCTGTTGTGGGGCATATGCTGTTGTGGGCATATGCTGTTGTGGGGCATATGCTTTTGTGGGCATAGGCTGTTGTGGGCATATGCTGTTGTGGGCGTATGCTGTTGTGGGCATATGCTGTTGTGGGCATATGCTGTTGTGGGGCATATGCTGTTGTGGGCATATGGTGTTGTGGGGCATATGCTGTTGTGGGCATATGCTGTTGTGGGCATATGCTGTTGTGGGGCATATGCTGTTGTGAGGATAGGCTGTTGTGGGCATATGCTGTTGTGAGCATAGGCTGTTGTGGGCATAGGCTGTTGTGGGCATATGCTGTTGTGGGGATATGCTGTTGTGGGCATATGCTGTTGCGGGCATATGCTGTTGCGGGCATATGCTGTTGCGGGCATATGCTGTTGTGGGCATATGCTGTTCCGGGCATATGCTTTTGTGGGCATATGCTGTTGTGGGCATATGCTTTTGTGGGCATATGCTGTTGTCGGCATATGCTGTTGTGGCATATGCTGTTGTGAGGCATTTGCTGGGTTACTGGTAGTAAGCGTTCTTAAAAGGCTTCCCTTGTGAGTCTGCTACATCTGAGCCGCCATTTCACTTCTCTTTCTCCTCAACCTCCCACTTCCCATGCCTACCAGAAAGCTGGGTCACCAGCAGCGGCCCTCCCACACGCGCTGGCACGCGCGTCCCTGGCAGCCCGTCTACATGCGCTGCTGCTGCAAGCCACCGCCACCCTCACCGCCACCCTCACCGCCACCCTCACCGCCACCCTCACCGCCACCCTCACTGCCCTCGCCCTGGCACCCCCTGCCTGCCGCCCTGCTGCTGCTGAGTGTTATGGTCCACGGGGTGATGGGGGGGTTGGCGAGAGCATCAGCGGGCGGGAGTGTGCGGTGCAAGCGCTGTGGGTGTTGGATGGGGTGTGTCTGCCGGTGCTGATGGGGCAGTCAGGTCTCTCCATGCGCTGCCGCACCCTCATGCTCGTTGCCCAGTGCCGCCTCACCATGCTGCCGCCTGCTGGTGCGTTCTGAGTCGACTTACAACTCACTACCAGTGAGTGTGTGCCGTGCTAGATTGGGGTGTGCCTGCTGGTGCTGCGGTGCTGCTGGGGCAGTCAGGTCTCCATGCGCTGCCGCACCCTCATGCTCGTTGCCCAGTGCCGCCTCGCCATGCTGCCGCCTGCAGGTTTGTTCACCGCTTGTTGTAATTAATTCCACTCCTCGCGAATATGTGTCGCCATGTTGCCAAGCACCCATTGTTGGTGCAACCCTACGGTTTGCACTCGGCTTGTTGTCCGTGTGCGTGCATGCGTGTGTGCATGGAATGGAATGAGGGCATGAAATAATATATATTTCACGCTTATAATAGTGAGTGTATGATGGGTCATGATGTCAAGTGTGTGTGTCGAGTCAATAGCGAGTTATCGCTAGCCGCGTGTTAATGCGGTCATTTGTGTCTCGCGCGCGGTTTCTATTTTGTCGTGTGTCCCGTGCGCGGTTTCTATTTTGTCCTGTGTCGAACGTTCGGCGTGCAGCAGACCCATCAAGAACTCAAGGATGAGTTTTGTGATGAAGAACCCGAGCCTTGGTTCAAGCTTCAAGTGATTTCGAAGCTCGCCAAAAGGGTACACCTCAAGATATTGAAGATAGTTACATTACAAAGTGTAGTGTAACATTTCAGTTGGTGTAGGCCCTTGTGAAGGGTAGTTTCGAGACCCTTCTTGGTTGGGGACAGTGTGGCACTGTTCCCCATGACTATACCTTGGCTCTTGGGGTTTGTAGGAGCTGGGAGTCATTCCTAACCCTTCGTAACTCTTCCAAGTTCTTCCAATTGCATTGTGTTCCTAAGACTATGTTGCTGCCATAGTGCCGTTCGTTCAATCTGACACTGTGTCGTCAGTTTATGAAATCGTGCGATCTAAATTGCCTATTGTAGGTGACATTAAGACGCTCCACACCCAAGTTGATTGAAACATTTGGAGTTGTGACCAGATCGCTATGAACGTTTGAAGCCGCTGTGCAGAAATCCGACTGTGCACTCTATCCTTTCGTTTTAAGGCACATTGAAGCCTATTGTGTCTATAACACCCATGTCGCCATGCACCCATGTCGTCATGCACCCATGTACAGCTTCATCGTCCTGTTCCCCATGTGCTAACCTTACCCACCCACCCTCCCTGCACCCACCCACCCACAACCTCTATCACCCACCCTGCACCCACCTCCCTTGCCACCACCACTGCATGCAGCGGTGCCAGCCAGTGTGCCAGCGGTGCTGCCATTGCTGGAGGAAGCAGGCAACGGCTTCCACACCATGCAGGTCAGTCCCAGTCAGTCCCACCCCATCTCTCGCACCCCGTCACTCACACCAAGACACACTCGCCCCGGCAGTTTGGGGCAGGTCAGAGCCAAGCACACTTCACTTCATAGTCATATGCATCTACCTCAAACTCCACCCCTTTCCTCTCTCTCCGCCTCCCTCCCCTTATGTAGCATATCTCCCTCTTCACCCGTTCCTTCACACACGCCAGAGATGCTTTCTTAGTCAACTCAAGAAGCCCCTACTCCTTGCCTTTTCTCCCCCTTCCCCTTAGGACCTCGCCCGGGAGAGGGATGCGCGGCACCTTCAGGCACTGCTGTGCCAGAGATGCTTTCTTAGTCAACTCAGGAATCCCCTCCTCCTTGCCTTTTCTCCTCCTTCCCCTCAGGAGCTCGCCCGTGAGAGGGATGCGTGGCACCTGCAGGCCCTGCTGTGCCAGAGATGCTTTCTTAGTCAACTCAGGAATCCCCTCCTTGCCTTTTCTCCCCCTTCCCCCCAGGACCTCGCCCGGGAGAGGGACGCGCGGCACCTGCAGGCCCTGCTGTGCCACGTGGCAGAGAAGCTGGCCCGCCGTGATGCTGCCGCGCGCCGCTTCCTGGAAGTTACCAGCGTTCTCAGCGCTAACGCTGCCTGCCAGGGCCCACTGGGGCTCCTGCTCTGATGCGTAACGTCTGTCAGTGTTGGAGGCACCTTAAAAGTCGCCGCTTCCTGGAGATCACCGGCGCCTGCAGCGCTAATGCTGCCTGCGAGGGCCCGCTGGAGTTGTTGCTGTGCTGCGTAACGTAATGTGACGTGTGAGCCAGGTCGGTGTTGGAGGTGCCTCAAAAGTCGTGTCTTTCCAGAATCTACCAGCGCTCTCAGTGCTAACGCTGGGGAGGGCCCGCTGGGGCTGCTGCTGTGATGCGTAACATAACGTGTGAGGCAGACCATGTTTGCAGGGGCCTCAGAAGTTGCCGCTTCTAGGCTGAGATCCTAAGCATCTACAGCTCACACGTAAAGATGAGAATGTGTTGTACATTGCATACATTAGTGTGCAAATAAACAAGGCAACACGTGAAAGGCAAGGCAAACCATTCAGTCGCTCAAGTTTTGGGAACGGCGCAATTGGAACACGGTAGTCAAGAAACAGCAACTACAATGCTGCTGGTGGTCACTCTTGCTCGTGAATCAGAAACACCAATCAATTGAAAACCAAAGCAAACAGTTACCGTACTTTAGATAGGAGAACAATAACACATCTAGCTAGTCATGTACTCTAAGGGGTACATTCCCTTATTGTGATCTACGGTGCTAAAGCTGTAAACAACCCCACAAAAAACAAACAAACAAACGAAGAAAACAAAGCAGCACACGGGCCAAACCCCTCTCCATTCTCCCTTGTGGAGGTCTCAAGCAGGGGGGGTCCTGATGCACGCTATTCAGACCTTCAGCCCCTTGGCCTGCTGTGCCTAATTTTGCAAGACAAAACAGCTGGGTGTCTAGCTGATGGGATGATGGGAGTGGCTGATGGGATGATGGGAGTGGCTGATGGGATGATGGGAGTGGCTGATGGGATGATGGAAGTGGCTGATGGGATGATGGGAGTGGCTGATGGGATGATGGGAGTGGCTGATGGGATGATGGGAGTGGCTGATGGGATGATGGGAGTGGCTGGTGAGGGTAGGCTGCTGCAGGAGAGATCAGGGCTGGGGGGACGTCACTGTTGTAAGGTAAGATGTTGGGAAACGGGGAGCGGGAGCGGGAGAGGGAGAGGGAGAGGGAGAGGGAGAGGGAGAGGGAGAGGGAGGGAGAGGGAGGGAGAGAACAGACTTTTTTAAGGTGGCAACAACATGCACGAGCAAGCATATTGCAACATGCAAGAGCACGCATATTGCAACATGGAAGAGCAGCATTTTACAACATGCAATTTTAACATCAACATCTCCTAACATTGCCGCGTGCCAATCCACGGCAAGCAACACGGCGGCAGCCAACACGGCAGTCAACACGGCAGTCAACACGGCAGTCAACACGGCAGTCAACACGGCAGTCAACACGGCAGTCAACACGGCAGTCAACACGGCAGTCAACACGGCAGTCAACACGGCAGTCAACACGGCAGTCAACACGGCAGTCAACACGGCAGGCAACACTGCAGGCAACACCGCAGGCAGGGGGAGTGTCACTGATGGAAGGTAAGAGGTTGATCAGGATGGAACGAAATCTATGGGTGGGGGTTTAGAAAACGAGAGATGGCAGTACAGTGGGTCAATCAGCATTGACTCCTCAGCATTGACTCATCGGCATTGACTCCTCAGCATTGACTCCTCAGCAAGCAAACCTTAAATGCGTGGAACTTATCAACACAGTTCATGTCGCGTGCCATATATTCGTTCATCCAGAAATCGCAAGCACAAAAGGGTTTCCCTGTGACAGGTGATATCTCGCAGTTTGCCACCTGGCCATAGTCCGCACCATCGTAAGTACATACAACGCCTTCGCACCCAACTGGGAAGGATTTGGGGTGAAAGTCCGTTAACAAAACGATGAGCATAACGTAAAACAGCCGAGTAGGACAATAACACACCAATCCGAGATAGAATAGAACAGAAAGTAGATTCAGGCAGGAGGCACAAGGGGCGGATTGAACAAGAAACGAGACATATAATAAGGGGTGCACAAGGAGGCATGAGAAAAGTGTGCAACTGCAGGAGTTACGGTCACATGCTAGAGGCATGGCACATTCCATAGCACCATGCGTGGCACGTCGCATAGAACAAGGCAAGGCATGGCAAATTGCATAAGACAAGGCATAGCAAATTGAATAAGACAAGGCATGGCAAATTGCATAGGGCAAGGCATCGGCTAAATGGCAGAGGAGAGGAGAAGGCAGAGCAGAGGAGATGGCACGGCATGGCACATACTGGCGGCGGTGCAAGTGACGCCATTAGGCTGCAGCACGAAGCCAGTGGCACACACACAGGACGCCACTCCTGCAGGGGTCCTCACACACTTGCCGTTAGCCCCGCAGTTCTTGAGCACACACGTGTCTGCCACGGGAAGGGCAGAAAGGCATCGCGAGTGGGGAGGGCATGGCCTAATTGAGAGTGAAGGAACGATTAGAGCAGCACTCACCAGCAGCAGCAGTGAGCAGCAGCAGCAGTGAGAAGCAGCAGCAGCAGTGAGCAGCAGCAGAACTTAGCAGCAGCAGCAGTGAGCAGCAGCAGCAGTGAGCAGCAGCAGCAGTGAGCAGCAGCAGCAGTGAGAAGCACCAGCAGCAGTGAGCAGCAGCAGCAGTGACCACTCGTTTTCGGAAAAAATATACCCCAGTTACCCGTTTTTTTGCGTGTAACAGAACTTTTGACGCTGTTATGAGTTGTACGAAAGAAGAGTGCGCAGAATGCAATATCGCGGAAGTGATTACAACTACTGCGCAAACAACGAGGCCTAGGCACAATATAGCAAAGCTAGCTAGGCCGAGGTCGCGGAGTCGCGCGAAGTTTGGGTGCAGGTTTGGTGTTGGGAAACCCGAAGGCGACACGGAGGACGTTCGGAAGGCGAGGTCGTCGGACCGAGCCTGAATTCCGAAAGCTGGAATTGTACGCGTAAGAGATGCCTCAGTAAGGAATTAGCGAAATTCCTTACACTACGTGGTCAATATCAGGCACGCGTCGGCGGGAAAGATAATCTCGAAGGACCGAGTGGCCTTGTAGTGAGTCAGCCGGGACCCACG